TTTTTTATTATTTATGATTCAACAGAAAAAAGTAATATTTACTATATAATTTTTTTTATAAAATATAAACGAATAAGTATTATTTCATAGTTTATGGAATTTCCTATTTGTATTTACCTAGATTAGATATTTTCCAAAGAGTTTCAATTTTGTCTTCATCTGTGAAGAAAGTCATCTATATTACCATCACATGCACTTGAATACAGACAACAGCGATATACATACACGAAATACGAAATGAAAATTGTTCCTTGATTTTCGATAGATAAACCGCGTTTACAGAATGTGGTTAAAAAAAATTGTAATCTTGCGAGTGCGAAGAAATCTTATTGGTCATAGATTAAAAAACTGACAAATTGTTTTCAAAGTTCATAATCTAAAATGACAGTTTATGTTTATTTAATAGACGAATAACCAAAAATAATACATTTTTGAAATAGTTAAACTGAAAACGACAGAGAAAATTAATTAATACAAAACGAAGTCTCTTTTTGATCTCGAGTTTCAACCACCAACCTTATTTCACTTCTTCACTCTTTTTTTTTTTACTGAGACTACAAAAACAGCAGCGAATTGCTCCTCCTACTGAGAAGCCAAGATGAAATAGTAACATTTTCAGCTTAAGCAATACTTGTTAGAACCTTCAATATAAGTTCATCGTCCTCACAGCAATCTAGAAGAGTTCTTTTAGTAGAACTTTGTCGATCTATCTCAGTGAGTTTATCTCGTAGTGAAAACACGTCGATTATTTTTTTTTTCGTCTAAAATCTATTTGTGTTTACATAAAAATATTACCCAACATCGTGTCAACAGCATACTGCTAAATTTATGAGCTATGTCCTGAATCGAAGTTATAGAAAAAAGAAATAAAAGTCATATTAAGTATAATTTATCAAGTTATTAAAATATTGTATAATAACACAAATATATGAATATAATTTGAGAAAAATTATATTTGTGACATTTAGTCACATAAACGTGTTTAACAGAAAAAACAAGTAAAACAGTTTAAGAAAGATTTAATAAAAGGGCAAGGACCTGAAGTTAAACAAGGCTAATTTAAATTAGTGACTTAGCCTTGCGTTCTCTTCAAAGCCGTCCTACGCTCAACTAAGGAAGAGGCTAAATACGTACTCTTACATACTGAAAGCAAGTTGAGGATATACATCACAAATCAATAAGGCAGTCCTCAAAGACTTAGTAATAATTCTATTGGTTTGTGTCAATCAAATTAATTACACTAAATAAAGATACATATACATTTTATTATACATATATAAAATAAAAGGTTTGAGGAATTATTAAGCTCACTACAACAGCAACATTATGATAATTTCCTTTAATCTTATAAGTACGTTTCATTTAAAAACAAAGTCAATTATATTTTAACTTCTCAATTTAGGCAGACAACTACCACAAGCACTAACCGTATTGATCAACGACATTAATAGTCACTAAATCACTTTGTGGAGGACATGGATGGTTGAATACGTAGTGACAAGGATCTTAGAGGAGCTTTAAATGTCTCAGGTTCGATTCCCAACTGAGTTAGTTGATATTTGTTGAATAATTCATAACTGGCAACAACTTCTAGTTAACCATCAACGATAGTAAGAAAAGAATATAAGGTCCATTTGCAGGGTACGTTTTTTCCCACACCTCCCACCAGTTGTAAACTTTGGGGTTCCATCCACACCCTTCCTTTCTTTTTAATCAGTGAGATTTAAATATGTATTTCTCGGTTCTGGTTTCAAATCTTAAAATTCAAGATGACGGCTGGTTTCAAGACCACATTAATCTATAACACAATCTATCATAGATGGAATACGAAAACCACTCGATTGTATTCCATAGAAGTAGTCAGTGGTACCGACCCCTGTTTATGAAATTATTAATATCCGTCAAAAACTTCGTGAATAGCTACATCTCATCGTAAAGTACAACTTTTATATTTACGTTAATTATCGACATTGCGGCGTTTTCAATCTGTAGATCAGCAAACTTTGTTTATTTAACTAGGCACTAAAAAGTCATGAACGCTTACTCGCTTTCAACTTGAATCTTTAAATACTTTACTAACAAAATCGAGAATAGTAGCGGTCTAAAAGATATTGAGCCGTTTAGCGTGACCTCCAATCAGAACATGTCAAAATAACGAGATTATATATGCCAAATGGCCCTAAAATTTTTGTAGGCTATCTTTTGTTTCGATTTTTGATCAAATTATCTTACAATAAGAATTTTAGTAGATAAAAATTTGTAGGTTAAGACAAGATGAAGTCATTCACGGAGTTTTAGGCGGATGTTAATAAATCGGTATAGACTTAGAAGATCACTACTATGGCTACTTGACTTTTTGCTATGAAATAAATGGGCATGATTTTTATTTTTGTCAGTAAATTCTTTTCTTGGCTGACAAAGCAAACATATGTCGTTATGTTACGTTTTTTTTTTTTTTTTGTCAATAATAGGCTACTCTCATCATTCCTCGGAATTACATTTACAGTGTGCTCGAAGTGATCATGAAACTGAAGTGTTATTCTTCAGTTTATCAAATTTCTCTATTTATCTCAAATAAATCGTTGATTTTCCTACTAAACTGAAAGTTTTACCTTTAGTAATTCCAATCTCGAGAGTATAATTAGGTATTTTTTAAAAAATGCTTCCATATTCTTAGGAAGATAACAAAGGTGTTAATTGGCCACTGTCATTGGATTAAATCATCCGGAATTTCCTGAGGTATTGTTAGCTTTCCATTACCTCTATATTATTTTCTTATTCAATATTCTTTTGGCTTGGGAAAAAATCAGCTAGTTTACTTCCAAATATACAATCAAAATCTATTATCTTAGGAAACAGTTGAAGTTAAACTTCACCGATGTATACATTTGCTTAAAAGGAAACATTAAACCTTAATAAAGATAAAACAATGGAAAGAGTTAGAAGGCAAGTGGCATAACCATTAAAATATAAATATTGAGTTATTTTCATTAAATTTATTTGTACTTTAAAAATATTTAGTTACTCTATGCATTTTACTTCTTTTTTATCTTGAAATAAATAAACTCGATTATTGTTGAGAGTTCAAGCTTGGAACAACTAATAATATTGCGTACGCGATTCATATCACAGGCAGAATTTATACGTTAATGTATGCTACTCAGAACACGGAACATCAACAAACGAATTAAATACTAAAGTCACGTTTCATAATAGGGCCTGGTATGAGCTAACAAGGCACGGAAATATCGCATGTATGACTCGTAAACATCCAGTAGATGACAACCACAAAAATCAACAAACACGAAAGCTAACTCGATTTAACAAAAACAACCGCTAGAAAGTGAAGCCATGTAGAAGAGGGTAAGCAAAACTTTATTTCCCCTTGTTTTCCGTTAAGTAACTAAACTTCTCCCTTCTATCCGAGCATTATCCTTTATAAATACAAAATTCCACCACGCCATCCTCAAGTCAGTGGATCAAACATAATATCTGCAAGAACAAATAACTTAGTGAAAAAAATACACACATTAAATCATTAATGGCTCATATATATATATAGCGTGTGTGTGTCTGAAAGTATTTTAAGTACGATATAAATGTTCAATAAATTAGGGTAAAGTTCGTTGAATATCAAAGCAAGTTTAATTGGGCCACAGGATTTGTGAAGTCTAAGTCGATAGATATTGTTGTAATATATGGAAACCATATTAGTTTCTCCTTACTTTGACCTTTGGTGATGCAATAGGGATTAGTTGTAATCTCTAAATTATATAGCACCCAAGGGCGCATATAGTTTCAAATTTTATTTATATATTTATATTTTTTGGCCCATATCTTGTTTTAATCATTAATGTGGTTAATACGGGGTTGTATTAATTAAAGTAAATAAAAATTTGAAGAAAAAGTAAAAAAAATTGTCGGCATATTTTTACTCTATATTCAAGCGATAAACCAATTTTTTTGTCATATGTGTTGATAGTTAACCGTATGGTAAAATAATTTATGTACATAACTATACATATATATACATTATATATATACATATATATATATATATATATATATATATATATATATATATATATATACATACATTATATATATACATATATATATATATATATACATATATATATATATATATATATATATATATATATATATATATATATATATATATATTATATATATATATATATATATATATATATATATACATATATGCAAAGTATATAATTTAAGTTTATTTATATAACATATTTCACTGAAAAGAAGTTGGAAAAAAATTACGAATGGTAATAAAATTAGATTTTCGAAAAAACAAAAAGATATACAATTTTTTTTTTATGTTAGTTACGGTTATGATTATTTAAACATTTGTGACTTAACGAAATTAAATACGAATCGGTGAAAAGTAACTATATCTTTTCCACTTGTTTTACTGCAAAGCTGATATTCTTTTGTTGAACACTTGATGGTTGACCGTTGCATATTTTTGATAAAGGAGATGGTCCGGAGTTACTGTAATAAAAAGGCTATCATAATGAAAAAAACTATTTTATTTTAAGCAAAAGTTTCGCAAACGTTTAAGCAAACTCCCAGTTTCATCCGAAAATCTATGTTACATACACGCCCCTGAAGAAGACCTAAAAAGTCGGATCGAAACGTTGGCTTGAATTTTTTTTTTCACTGTTTTAGTATTTTTATGACCGCCACCCCGGATCACCTGCTTCTTCAAAAATTCTTTGTTTTGGTTTATGATTTTTAGAGTGTAGATCGGTATTTCTGCCTATGTTGTTTAATTATAATTATTATTATAATATAATTGTTTTATACAATAATAACCAACATGTTTCGTAACTGTGAGAAAATGATGTTTGTGAGAATATACCTGAAATTAATCAATCTTAATTAGCTTGAAAAATTACAAAGAAGTTTCATATTTCTTTTATTGATAAAATAATGATAATATAATAAGAGAGATTTAATTTCCTCACCTCCTGGTCCTCGTGGTGGAATAGAGAAGGCAGGGAAGAGCGAGTAGACCGGAAGCCATCCAGATAGCAAGGAGGGCCAGGAGCGCTTTTCTTCGGGACATCCGGTGCTTCAGTGGCCTCACGATGGCCATGTACCTGGGCAACAGAAAAAGAATAAAAATATAAATAAGATTTTGAAAAAAATATATAAATAGAAGGGAAGGATGGTTGGGGTAGTCAGTCAAAATAAAAAAAAATAGTAAAAATAAATAATTATATTTATTTTTATATTTGCCGACGTTTCGGCCTGAAGTTCAGGCCTTCATCAGGCATTCGTTAGTCTAGTGATGGGGCCCAAAAATTGTTTTGTGTCAGTCTAGTTAATTAACGGCCCTAAGTCTAGTCAAGTCCTGAGGCTTTTTCTAAGCGTTTGCCACCTCTGTGTTCGTCTCGTCGGAGTTAGTGTCTCAAAAATTGGGTCAGTCACATAATCCAGGCTATCGAAAAATTTGAAGTGCCTACGTGTTATTAAGTCTGTCACAGTTGGTAGTCCAGAAGTCTTGTGGAGTTGCTCTGTTTTTGTCATCGGTGATGATATATGTCTCACAATACGTCTCAGCACTCCGTTCTGAATTTGCTAGAATGGGAAAAAATGGGTAAAATACTTGTGTCATTGGTTAGGAGTCTTCCATTTTATTTTCACATGAGGGATTAAGATGAAAAAGTTTAAAATAAAATTACTATCATTTCATTGGAACGAAATTATCAAAGAAATAACAATCGTGGTCGGGCCACAGAAGACATGCTTAATCCTTCCTGACTAAGCTCGCCTCTTTATCCTCATAACTGGGTTCGACTTCTAAAAGACACTGTGAAAGGGTTGAAATACAAACGTAAAAGCTAAAGAGCAATGATTAAAAAAACTTAAGATAGCCACGTGGAGGATGACTTAGATTTGATTTTATCATCCTTTTACAAACGTGCTTTAAAGGAATTGTTTTTGTCAATCGTGTCAAGGTAAATTTAATATAAAATATTTTGACGAATTTTCCTTATCCTTTAGTTATGTAATATATTTATAATATTAAAAAAGCCACCTATGATCAGACCTATATGAGATCTTACATATTTAGGCATTATCTTAAGATCTTTTTTAGTATTAAAACGGACTAAATTCATTACTTAAGTATTAATTATTTTTCATAACTAAAGAACATTTTTTTTCAGTCTTATTCCAATATGTAAGTTTTATTTATAACTGCCCACTTTTATAAAATATTAGCTTTAAAAGTAACAGGTTTGGATTAATGAGGGTAAAAAGATCTTTATTTGCTAAAAAGAATTATTGAGGTAGAAAATATATACATTTGTTGTCACTACAATTGTTCAATTTTACTTTTTTGATGAATAAGTTTAGAAAAGATACGTTTGTCCTGTAAGAGTTGTCCTGATGATGGACGGTAGAGGTGTTAGAGCTCCATCAATATTTATTGACAACGAAAAAGTAATTTATAAAATTAAAAAAAACAGATATACGGATAGTTTTTGAAATATAGGAGTGAGTCAATAACATAAAAGTGATTGAAGAAATTAGTATTGCTATTTGTGATAGTTAACTTAATGAATAAGCCAACATACATCAAATTATGATTTCTTCATTAATTTCAGTACTTACAATCAGTACATAGTTTACTATACATGAAGAGAGATCATATGTCCGGGACAGATTGCTTTCTGTAAGATAAGAGCAGTGAAATGGATTAGTACTATACCCAATCAAATTAATAATGAGTTAGATGTTGACACTTCTTTTTCCCTTCAAGAGGAATAAATTTATTATAAAAAATAAGAAAAACATAATTAAAAAAAAATATTTCAAGTTTCGTAAAGTAACGTATATTATTTAAAAGACAGTTAAGAAATAGAAAAAAAAAATAGATGTAGTTATTGCTTTAGAAAATAAGGAAGAAAAATTCTGAGCAGGAACAAGAAAAGAAGAGTTGGGATTAGATACCCTTTCTTCTTTGGATTAAGTTAGGAGAGAGAAGAAAAAACTCGGCCTAGTTTGGCACAATCAAACAAAACAATTTTGCAAAAAAGTTTTATTCGAAGTTTTTAAGATATATTGGATTGAATATATTTTAACTTGTCTAATAATAAATTAGATAGAATAATAATAAGACGCCATTATTGATTAAAGTGACTGTGAGTATTTTTTTTTCTAAAAAAAACAATTAATAGGCCCTTTATAAAAACTAAATTATAGAAATTTTTAGAAATCACGAAGTTTCTTTAATAAATGGCGATACACGAACGGGTATTTTAGACGCACCAGAGGTTTTTTTATTAGCTAACCACACATATATAGCATGTATAATAGGTCAAATATGATTGAAAAATATTTATGCGCAATGACACCGCACGCAGTACGCAAGAAAACAAAAATTGATAACCCTAAACAACATATCCTAATCAGTAATTGCAACTTAGCGACTTAATTAGAGTAAGCTAATGAGACCACCCGGAACTTTCCTCCAAAGAGGACAAAGGGCCGCTTTGGGTAAGGATAAATATGCTTACTATTCATTGGCCCTCATCAAGGCATGATTACAGGTTCGTCCCTTTGTCCAGAATAGCTTGAGTCTGAGTGTTTGGTTATTGGATGTTTGCACTTCCCACTTTATGTCAAAGGGGCGGGCTATCAGGCTAAGACTATTCTAGTTTCACATAAATGAAACCACGGTTCTCATATGTACTCATAAAACTAAAGTTGAGAGTGAATTTTAGATTTAATGGACAGATAAAACACCAATACATAATAACAATTACGTAGACATTGCATGCATTCGTGGTTTTCAGACAATGTTCATTTCGTTATTTATATTATTATTAATATATGTGGCTAACTATTGTACTGAACTGATAATGCACAGACAACGAATCGGACATTCAAGTAAGTCATGTGTATTTCATGGCAAAGGTGACACCTCTAGTGTATTTCTTGAGGGGTACATTTAACGGTGTCGCTTCTTAAGAGATTACTTTGAATATGAAACTCACCGGAATGAATTTGAGTAAGAAAATGATATTAGTTCAATTTCGAAAAAATAATCCGATGATAGCAAAAGAAAATTGTTTTTATTTATTGGAATCTCTTAGCCTCTACTGGTAATTAATACCAGTAATGCGGCTCAGTGCGAGGCGCTGGGATCTCCTAGAGTCCTGCATTTCCTTCCACGAGTAGGGTGAAAAGCGACAGAATTGTGACAGAATGTTATATTTTTAAATAAACAAATAAATAATAATTTATTGGAAAAACTTAAACATCTCTTTATTATATAAAAAAGTTTTAAGTGACTTTCATATTTTATTTTATTTTAGTATTAGGAGAGTAGGAGATTATAGGAGCTATTAGCTCTTTAATTAGAACTAATAATAAAGCTGGTCTTCTATCCTTCTATTCTTATACAAAATAGAGATTTACACCCTGGTGTATTGGTTATAGTATTGAGCTCCTGTAAGCTCCTGCTTTCCTATTAAAAAATAAAGAATTTAGACCAAAAATATTTAAGAAAATGGTATTTTCATCTGAAGGTGTTAAGTTTGATTTTACTTACCCGACAACAGTTATTTTTCGATGTAGACATTTTCTCTTTTAATACAATATATTAATGATTACATTATTTATAATATTATTTATTATATTATGTATTATTATATTGTGACATAATTGTAATCATTATGAAATAGAAAAGCAAGTACAACATAATGTACAATGAAAATATTTGAAATGAATAAAGGATCAAATTGGTGATGGGCATATATGAAGCTGGTCAAGTTGAATATATTTTATGGCTACACATTGGCCATAATTGGCAAGAATAATTATAATTATATCATAATATAAATTGGTAATAAAGCGCAATGTATAATACAGGTTTTAAAGAAATTTAAAATTTGTCCCAACTATGATTTCGTTTACTTTATTTCATGTTCCTAAAAAATAATACACTCTGAACTACTGATTACATATAAATAACAGTTTTACTATTTGAGCAACGAGTTTTACAATTAAATTAAAAGTTGTATAATTTGTAAAATGGAGGTTGATCCGTTAGCAGGAGGAGAGGGGATACCACTCTAGTATTACAAAATTAATTTTATTTTGTCCTCTTAATTTTAATATTTTCTTCTAAATTTTATTGTTTTATACCTTTATCTATTGTTAATTTTTATATTGTGTAATATAATTACTGTGTAAGAGCTAAATTAACCCGTAAGTATTTGAGAAACTCGCATCATTATAAATAAATTATACACAGTACAATTCATATAATGAATTCATTTAATTTAAATATTTCGTAAATTAATTAGTTTCTAAATTTGATTTACACTATATAAAGATGATGGAAACTTCACATTCATTAAGAAGCAACTTATTATTAAGTCGTGTTTCTTTAATAATAATGAGTCCAGTTAGGATTCTTGGGTTAATGAAAACATATTTTTAATGAAAATTGTTAAGAAAATAGTGTTAACAGAGAATATAAAACTTTCCACACATTCATGAAATAAAAATACTCTAAATAAAAAAAGCTTCACATGCTAGAGGGTTATTTTCCTATGCTTTTGTGGTGGTTCGAATATTGCTTTACATTTATTTATTTATTTATTTTTTTATCGATTCTGTTGAGACCCTAGTCCTTCTCGGAACCGAGACGAAATAGAGGTTTTTATTCGTTCCCCTTCGGCAGAGATCACATGTGTCCTATCCTTCCTATATCGTCATTCACAGAGGTTACTTATTGCGCGAATATTTACGTCGTTGAACATGGATTTTTTTTTATCTCCATCACTGCATAAGGTGAATACTTTTCAAGAGTTAGTTAATTAATTTTTGTGCTAAGGAATTAATTATAGTCGAAACAAGGAGAATTGAAGGAACTTTATAAGATTAAGAAATTCCTATAACTTTAATAGATAATAATCTCGAAGCAAGCCGCAATAATCGTAGCATAATAATGGAAGTAAAGGAAATTGCGGTCTTAAACTTGCCAACACAAATCCTATTCCGTAATCTCGGTAAATCTACTAAGCAGCGATCAACATCATTACCTGATGCTAGAACAAATTTGCCTTGAAATTCGTTGGA